CGTAGGATATTTAGAAGCATCTCTGCCATGTACCCACTAGATGCCCCCCTCCATTGTAACAATCAAACCTGTCTGCAGACCTTGTCAGATGCTCCCGGGGCGGTAAAACTGCCACCAGTTGACACCCACTGACCTACCTACGTATCGATACCATGTGTCATACTTTCAAACTGGTGGCTTGCTTTTGGTTAAAGATCAAGTTAGAATAGAAGGAGGAAATGGCAGCAGGGTCTAAGCATACCATTGTATGTTGCACGGGGCATGATAAGACCTGCTGTAAACTGGTTCTGTGACCTTGCCCAGGCACAGAGTCCTTCTTGAAACTTTCATTTGCTAACACACAAAATAACAGTCTTCTCCTACTGCAGGTGTGTGCTGAGATAAGGGCAATAAAATGCCAGCCAACACTGAGAGTTCTCTGGAGGAAAAACTCGTTAGGGTGAGGCCGCTGTTAGGTGCCCACTGTTCTTGTACTGGAAGCTTCTTTAAATCAAGCTATGGCCTAACATCTTACAGACTTCCCAGTCAAAATCTCCAGGAAAAGCCGGATTTCAAATATTCCATCCCACTGCCCTCAAACCCGTTTGAAACATTCCAGGAACACAAAAATGACATTTCTCAGCCTGTTTCTCACCCCTGGAACAAAGCAAGAAGCCTTTGTTGGAACACGTGTATGATAACCTTAAGGCACAGTCCAGCCTCTATATCTTACAGGCCTCCTGTGCTGAGGGACCGTTGGAAGGACTATAAATGGATAAGAGGATCATCTGTGTATCCTTCAGAGACCTGGAGAAGGCCCTGCTCATCCTAAACATCCTTACACTATAGACATTTTTGCATTAAATGAGTCATGAGTAAAGAAATTTTGTTACTATGAGTTAAGAGCTTTTCTACTTCCTTTGTGTGAATCTTGCCTTCCTTAGGTATAACATGAAAGGGCTTCCAAGTCTGCTTCCAGCTTTGAGATCCTCTAGTTCCTGATGATGTCCATGTTGAACAGCTTTCAACACATATTCATGGTGGGCATCCAGAAAGCAATACAGATGTCTAACGAGTGGTGTCTTCCAGAAGCTTACAATCTAGGTAGGTGAACCATTAACAATTTGGGGCCATACTCCAGGAGTCTGAATCCCTAAGGGCTGTGTGATCTTTCTAATGTTTTATGAACATGCTGTTTCTTCATCTGTCAAATGGGCACAAACAAATACTTCATCACAGAAGGAGTGATGTGCTTAGATCGATGCTGAGCTTTTAATAAATTCTCAGTATATATTAGCTGTTAAAATGATTACCATTCAGTTTGGCTAATACCATAGTAAAGCTGTAGACTAAATGGGGAATTTTGTTTACAAAATTGGGACAAAAAATGGGGAGACCTTGGTGATCAATCCTATTCAAGGCAACCCACGGAGACTTGAATTTTGCAAATCAGTGGTTCTGACAAGGGATAAGACCCGTAAGACAGGAGCACCAAGTAAACCTAGTACCTGGCAGCCATGCGGCTTCATCGGAGCCAGTGGGTCATTCTGCTGAAGTGGGTGTCTTGGTTCCCTGCTGTGTCCTGCTCAATGTGGCCTGGGCCCAGGCTCTGCTGAGGTCCTCCAGAGGGGAACAGCTGCTTTCAGGGAAAGGTCAGCTGTTTGTTGAAATGAATGCGTTTCCTAGCATTTTAGATGTTTACGGGAAACAAATGCCCAGTGATTCTGCTTCAGCTCTGTGGGTACAAAGCCATTAAAGCATGACTGCCTCTTACACCCAGGCACAGCTCAAAAGTCTGCAGAACTGACAGAGCTGCCCCTAATAGCAGAAGAGCCACCAGGCATATCAATCCCAGAGGGACGTTGGTACTCTACGAATAGAGGTGGAAGAGTCCCCAATTTCCACTGGCTTTGGCTCTGGCTCCTCTGGCTGTCACTTTCAATGTAACTTTCAAATGCCAAGAAAGTCCCGTGGGGAAATTATTTTGTCTTTCAACAAATGGTGCTGGGACCTTTGGATATCACATGTCAAAGGATAAAGTTGGATCCTCCTATACAATCTACAAAGATCATCTCAAAATGGACGGAAGACTTAAATGTAGGAGCTAAAAACGACAAGACTCTTGGAAGAAAACACAGGGGCGACTTGCATGACCCTGGGTAAGCACTGAAAGCACAAAAGAAAAAATTAGGTAAAACATCATCAAAATCAAACACTTGTGTGCTTTAGAGGCTACTACCCAGAGAGTTAAAAAGACAAACTCCACAAAAATTTGGGCCCAGTTGTTCACACCACCATGATTCATCATGGCCAAAAAGTAGACATAAACCATCTGCTGATGAATGGATAGTCAAAGGGGCTGGTCCATCTGATGGAGGTTATTTGGCCATAAAAAAGGAATGCAGTGCTGCTACATGCTGCAATACGATGATGAACCTCGAAAACATGCTGAGTGGAGCTAGAAATGAGACATTTTCTATTTATATGTAATGCCCAGAATAGGCAAATCCACAGAGACAATGTCGTGGCCAAGGGCTGAGGGTGGAGGGTCTGGGGAGTGTCTGCTAATGACTCAGGTGTTTCTTTTTAGGTGGATGAAAAATTTTCTGGAACTACAAAGAGTTGATGGTTCAGTTGAGTGAATATACTAAAAATTGCATTCCACACTGATGCTATGTGAATGATACCTCAATTAAAAAGTAGCTGTGACACTTCTCTCCCCTACCTCATATATCTTCCCACTCTTCCCTCCTTTCACCTGAATAACTGCCAGTCACCTACCTCTATTCTGTACTTTGCAGTGGATTATTTTTACGTAGCAGAAATTAATTTTGTTTCTATTATATTTCATCTGGTTATTTTTGCTTATCTTTCTATCCTTTTGAAATGTTACTAAACATACAATACCAGCATTCGAGGGATTTATGGTCTCCTTAAGTTACATATTAACTATAAATTTGACAATGTGTATCTTTTACTAAGTCATTGATTATCCATGGGAATGAGGTCAGTGATAGAATACTTGTCTATCATGTATGAGGCCTTGGGTTTTATCCCCAAGGAGAGAAAAGAAAATAGAACAAGAGACATTGATTTTAAAAAAGCATTGAATAGTAACTGGTCATTGACAGAATCTGGTATTTTACCTTAAGAAAATGTGTCCTTGGGGCTGGGGATGTGGCTCAAGTGGTAGTGTGCTCGCCTGGCACGCGCGCGGCACTGGGTTCAATCCTCAGCATCACATAAAAATAAAGATGTTGTGTCTGCCGAAAACTAAAAACTAAATATTTAAAAAAAATTCTCTCTCTCTCTCTCTTTCTCTCTCTCTCTAAAAAAATAAAAAAGAAAAGAAAAGAAAAAGAAAATGTGTCCTGGAAATTCAAATGGTCCCCTGGTATGCATTCGATGATTCCATTGTTTGAAGAGATTGGGAGTCTAAATATGGGTGTGTGGTTTCTGCTGACTCTTGCTCTACCACTGAACTTTACCCTCAGCCTCTGATGTATAGATTTGAATCTCAAGTCTAAACAAAGGTGTGACCCTCATTATTAATTAACAGGGAAGATATATTTTCTACCCAGAGCTCTGATAAAGTTGGAGAAATTATTTTATAATCTCTCTTTACAAGTGAGCATGCCCCATCCCCCATCCCCATCACCATTTTTATCCAGAGGTCAAACCTTGGAAAATCTTGGCTCCCTGTGAGAATAACAGTTCCGGTTCATGCTTGCCCTTGCCTGAGGCCTCAGCTCTTCTTCCTGTTGATGGCCTTTATATCTGAAGCTCTTTGGGTACCTGAATTGGCAACCCTCCTGGGGCAGCCACAGCAACAGCTCCTACTTCTAAGGCTGCTTGGCTGCAAGATTTCCCTTTCTTAAAATCTCAGTTAATTTACAAGGATGCTCATTGTCTCTTACCCGGCATTTCTATGTGTTTTCACAGCAGAAGCTTTTCTTCATGGTCACACTACTACAAATGTAAGTCTTTATGACGTAATTTCTCGCCATTAAACTGGCAAAGATTTAGCAAGGCCATGTATGAGGGCGGAGGGAGGAAATCCATCAGATTTCTACTGATGGGAATCTAAATAGTTACATCCATTCCTGAAGGAATTTGGCAATCAGAAGTGTGGAAGTTTTTGCATATCTTTTGTTTCAGTGATTCTCATTTCTAGAAATTCATCCTGTTGGAATCACCATCAATGTGTGCAGTATGAGCTACAAGGATGTCTGGCAGAGCATAGTATCTCCCCAAATTACAAACTGTTTAAATTATTACAGGAAAGCGGTGGGGTTGGGGGAGGGGGGAACAAAAGGAGAAGGGGAAGCATTTAAATAAGGAAAAAAATGACTCTTTGAGAAATTTCCAGTGAACAAGTGCTTGGGATTCTGGGGTCAGACCCTGTCTCCTGGCCATCTCTAGCTATAAGGGAAATGGGAACTATGGAACTTTCTTTTGGATAAAATACTGAAGTTTTGTTATTAAGATAGAAGGGAGGAATGGATGGCACAGTGTCTGTCTGTCTGTCTGTCTTTCTGTTTATATCTGGAAGGAAAGACACCGAGTTCTTTTGATGGTTATTCCCATTGGTAAAATTGTAAAGGAGATTTTTACTTTTCTATCTTTTCACAGTTGGATTCTAGATTTATTTTCAGCAAAGCTATATCATGTTCATAAAAGGAAGAAGTCACTCCAAAAGCCTTCAGTTGTAAAGGATGGGATAAAACATGGTGGGTTGGGTGCCAGAGAAGCTGCACAGGCGGAGACCCTCCACATCTTGGGACACGGAGGGGAGGAGATTCTTGGGGACACAGTGACCCGCTTTGTAGGGCCTGCCGGCTGTTCCTGCTGAGTTGTTCCTTGGCTTTTAACTCAGGGGGAGTCAAGATGCTGCCTGGGGTCTTAACGTGGGCATCCAGGGCAGCAGGTGGGACTCTGCAGCCCCTACTCACAGCCCTGGTCACGAAGGTAGACATCGATTATGTGCTGATCACTGTTCCCTGCCTGACTCCTTGTTTCAGATCTTTAATTGGTTGACAATGTTCCAAGACCTTTTGTGTGTCACATCCAGCCTCAGAAAACAGGCCACAGTCACCCTCCCCAGGAGGAGCAGGTCACGTAGTTATCACCATTGAAGCAGCTGCTTGGTCTTGGGAGTCCAGCCACAGAGGGACAAACACGATGTGCAAGAAATATCCGAGAAACGTAAGTCCTCCCTCTGCCAGGAATGACACTGATGCTGATGGCTCCCATTTATTGAGTATTTTCTCATTTATTCCTTAAAACCACTTCACAAGGTGAGTACTCATTTTATAGCTAAGAAAACCAAGGCTCACACAGGTTAAGTAACTTGTCTAAGATCACACAGCCAGGCTATCTGGTTTTCTATGTTTGCAATTCATCATCAATCTACTTTTAGAGCCATCCTTGATTGCTCTCAACTGTGATGGTTCTAGCATTTAAAATCCCACATCCTGAGAAACTCCTGCATCTCAGGCAAACAGGATGACAGTTTGCACCTAGTGGCCCTCTTTTCTCTCCCCTGAGCTGAATCCTACTGTACTTAAAAGCCCACTTCTGGTTGTACCTCTTTGTTGAAGACTCTCCTGGCCTCCTGGGTTCTTTGGCTCTTGGGAAACTCCTCTGGCACTTAGGGTTCTCTCCCATCGAGCACTCTGTGGGCTGATGTCTTCACACATGGGTGCTCACCTGGCTGCAGATGAGGCTGGGTACTTTCCACTGCGCCTGGGGCAACACGGTGCACGTAATTGTCACCAAAGGAGAAAGTGCTGGTGGAATTAAGAAGGGCATAAATTACTAGCTTCACCCACAGCAGGTACTTGTAGATCATTTACCTCAATCCAGGTGTGGTTAGGTGCCATGGGAAATAAAGAAGTGAGTTTTAACTAAATAAATTACTGAGTAATGAGCGTGCCTGAGTCACACTCGGAGTAGAGGCTTGGGCTATTGGTGGTGTCAACAAAGATGAATGAACGGATGCTGTACCTCAGGTGAGATCACTGTGATGACAGCAGTGACACCCACCAGCTCTGCTTTGGCGGCTCCTGTAGTTTATGAACCTCCAGGGAGTGGAATCCTACCCTGCCTGAAAGCCCGCTTTTGATCTCACCCCTGTGTTGAAGGCTCCCTGGCCTCCTCAGCTCTTTGGCTCCTACAGTCTCTTTCTTGAACACATTCCTTGGCCTCATGGTGACAGTGAGGCAAACAGAGGACGTGCTCAAACTTCACTTTACTGCCAAGGAATGTGAGTCACTAAGGACGTGCAGATTGTGACCCAAAGCCATGACTGCAGAGTAGGGTCCCCAGGTTCCCTACAGGATGCTGTTGTGTTTTGTGGTCTAAGTAATAGTTAAAACAAAACAAAACAAAACAAAACACAAACCTGAATTGCATTACAATATTTAAAGACTGAATGATTTCATGCAAACATCTGAACATCTAGTTCCTCCTAAGAGCATGGAAGATAGGACACCCCCAGGTTCTCACAAACGGTCATCACTTGGATGACACACTGGCTTTCTGATTTCCAAGGTCTTCCTGGCCAATGTTACCTATGGCATCAAAGCAAAGAGACTAGATGGTGTAACAAACAAACACACCAGCAGGAAAGGTATGGGGCCAGGAGCAGCTTCAGGAACCCCAGTGGTTGTCCCATGTTCCGAAGGATGAAGAGCACAGGGGAGGAATGGCCACACCCACCAAGGCCAGGGGCAGGTCCCTGTCTCAGCAGCTTGATGCTCTTGGTTGTCCCTCTTCACCATCTTGTTCCCTCTCCCATTTACTTGTTCGAGTCACAGAATGAACTTTTTACCCTTTCCCAGTAACTGGCAACTTCATTCCAACAGCTGTCCAGGCTGAACACATTGGAGCCATTCTGGACTGTCCTTCCCCACCGCAGCAGACTTGGCTCTGCCTCCGAAGTATCCAGAAACTGCCCTCTTCCGCCTCTGGGGGCAGACCCTGGTCCGGAGTCCATCATCACTTCTGACGTACTCGTTGACCACACAGAGCTATCCACGGCTCAGAGAGAGAGGGTAACGTGCAAGGCACAGATGCCAGGAGGCAGGGATTCCTGGGGCCACCGCAGAGCTGTAACCACCCAGGCCTCCACCTGGGATGCTCTTCCTCCAGTGACTGGAGGCTGACTCTTACATTTCCTTAAGATTCCTACTCACACGCTCCCTACCAGAGAGGCCTTTACAGCTGCTACTGATAAAGAAACACCCGGCCTTGAGGCGCTCTGACCTGCTTGCTTTTCTCACAGCCATCAGATAGCTGAAACGTTGCACGTTGGCTTGTTCATTATTGCCTGTCTCCCTCCAATAGGATGGATCCCAGCCTTTAGACCATAGCCTGGTGCACAGCAGGTGCTCAATATTTTTCAAATGAGCACATAGTCCATATGCATTAATATTTATCAAATAGATGAAATCCTTCCTCTTTTATTATAATATTTATTTTTTAGGTGGATATAATATCTTTACCTTATATTTATGTGGTGCTGAGGATTGAATCCAGTGCCTCATGCATTCTAGGCGAGCGCTGTACTACTGAGCCACAACCCCAGCCCCAAAGTCTTTCCTCTTTGAAAACACTTCATCACATCACATCGAGGGCGAATACGGTCAACATGATGGATCACAGGTGTCGTTGACCTTGATCACCTGGCTGAGACACCCTTTGTCAGGTTTCTCCACTGTCAAGTTGCTGAGTTTTCTGCTTTTGTGTTCTGTATTGACTGGAAGGAAGTCACTATGTAGCTCCCACGTAGGGAGTGGGGAGCCCTGAGGCTGGATCACTTACTTGGAATTCTTCTGCACAGGACACTTATCTCTTCTCCCTCATATATTGGCTTAAATATTTATTTGTATCAGCACAGACTCATGGATAGTTAATTTGCACTTTGGGTTATAATCCAATCCTATTTTATTTAGCACCTCAAATTGTTCTAGCTTTGGCCATGGGGAGCTCTTCAGTTGGCTCTTCTATCCCTTGGAGATATCTCTGTGTGTGTGTGTGTGTGTGTGTGTGTGTGTGTGTGTGTAGCACTTCCTTGCTTTCTGGAACTACAAGTTTCTCTAGGCTCATTTTGCCTCAGTCCCCATGTCTCTAAGGAGCCCTGGCTCCTCATTTTGGAGACTGGTATTAGAAACCAAGGTCTGTGAACAGGCTTCCAAGTCTGCTTTTCACCAACTCCGCTGGCACTGCCCTAGTCCAGGCTGTGGTCTTTCCGTGAGAACCTGCTTCCACTAATGGGGAACCCTGCCTCCACGTTTCCTCTACTCCCTCTCCCCACCTGTTCTTTCTGCTGCAGGCAGAGACGCCATTCCAAGTCATGGATCTGATCATGTCAACCTTCCACGGGACACCTCTGTTCTCAGGATGAAGTTCAACTATCTTCTGATGTAGGAGAAAACCTCCTTCTTGACCTTGACCCTGCCCAACCCTCAGCCTTTTATTTTCCCATCATCCCAACTTGAAGGTCAAGGTCTAGTCCGGCTGAGCCTAGTCCTTTATTTCTGTGTCTTTACTTGTGTCCATACAGGACTTTCACACTGAGAGGCAAGCTCTTAGCCTAATGACTGCTGGATACTATGTTGAAATGTTTTTATTCATTTACTGGTTGGAGTTAAACTATAAAATTCCCTGTGATATGAAAAACAAATATTTGGTCTTTTCCCCCTAGTTCCTGGCACAAATCTCCTAAATCCCTTGGGATTTCCTGGGTTATAGGATGGTCTTTTGTTCTAATGAGGCCACTCTTGGTGGGCCCCCAGAAAGCTTCAGGATGGGGGCTGGTCCGGAGGAAGAGCAAGGCATGGTTAGAGGGTTGGAGCTGAGAGTTCCAGTTCTGACCTTCAGGGAGGTTTAAAAGGATTGGAGATTGGCTTCATCACCACTGGCCAGTGACCCCATCCATCACATCTGCAGAATGAAGTGCATAACCCCCCCCCCCCCCATCCCCAGGGTTCAGAGAGCTTTTGGGTTGGAACACATGGAGATACTGGAAGGCAGAGCTCCTGAGGAGGGCGTGGTGGCTCTGAGGTCTTCCTCTGTCCCTTGCCCTATGCATCTCTTCCATCCGGGGGTTCCTGAGTTGTAACATTTAAAATAAACCAGTAAATGTAAGAAAAGTATCTTTCTGAGTCCTGAGAGCTATTCTAGCAAACTGTCAAAACCAAGGAGAGGGCCATGGGAACTCTGAGTTGTAGCCAGTGGATCAGAAGCAAACCTGGGACCTGTGAGTGGCATCTGGAGAGACAGAGTAGGACTGAGCCCTAAGCCTGTGGGGTCTATGCTAACTCTAGGAATTAGAGTCAGAATGGACCTGTTCTAGGATAACTTGTTGCCTTCCAAAGAATTGGAGAATTGGTTGGTGTGGCAAAAAAAAAAAAAAATAATAATAAAAAGTATTTTGTATCAGAATTGTTGAGAGAAAAAGTAGCTCACCCTCCTCTGGCTAATCTAGCTTGCTATAGGCCAGGCTCCAAGCTATGCTCTAGAAGTGTGTGTGTATGCAAGTGTGTGTACGTGTGTGTGTGGCAGGAATGAGCCATGTTGGTCCTGCCCTTTACTGTCATGTGGCTGTGTTTACCGGCGTCCTTAGCGGACCATGTGTCTCATGAGGTTGGTCACTTCTACCTCCTTAGAGTCCGGGTAGCCTGGCATCTACCTATAGATGCTCAAGTACTTGTTGCTTATGTTTTTAACAGAATGAAGAAATAAACAAAAAAGAATAACTATAAAGATGGGTAAATGAATGGATGGATGAATCAATTGTGCCTTTCTGATCACAGAATCATAAGTGATTTCTAAGTGCTGAAATATTGAACATTGAATTGAACTGACCTGAATTTTGAACATTGGCTCCCGGGGAGAGGGGTGGTCCTCACACAGGGGAGAGTACTGACTCCCTCTATCCACAGACACCAGGGGGAGGAGAGAGGGTGCAGGATTTTCCACAAAGCAGGGTTGTTTTTTTTGGGGGGGGTGCTGGGGAGTGTACACAGGGGCACTTAACCACTGAATCCTTATTATTTTTTATTTTGAGACAGGGTCTCGCTAAGTCAAAGCAGACTTTCAACACCAGGTTTTTGATGACTACATTGTAATCCATCTGTAACTTCTTGAATCCTGTTAATGGTTATCTGATTATTTTTTAAAAATGTAACTATTAATGATGGCTTGATGGCATTCTTGATGTATATTTACATGTACCTCTGATTATTTCTTAAGATATATTTCTAGAAGCAGAACTGCTAGATTTTCAAAAACCTTTGCCTGTGCTAAATCCAAGGGAATGTCTAGAAGTTTCTGGGAAGAGTGTTATGGGAAAGCTCTCCTCCCCCCCCAGGCCTCCTGCCTGGCCTTCACTCCTTGTGCAGAACTGACCGAGTGTCCACAGTTCGTGATGAAGAGGGGTTCTCCCCTCCATGTTCCTGCCACACACCCCCTCCCATCCTACCCCATCTCTGGCCACAACCTCCAGGGCCTACATGTGGTCAAGGCCTGGTGCTGGGACAGGTCACAGAGAACAGAACCTGGCAGGGGTATGTACAACGTGTGGCCGAGCAGAGCTCTCCACCCCGTGACAAGATCCCATCGACACACACCCCCACATCTCGAGATGTCTCCTTCCCTCCCACCATTCCTGAATCCTTGAGTCACCTCTGGTTCCAGTTTCCTGGGGGATTTTGAGGAGCTTCTTCTGAGCTCTCCAGATCTTCCTTGTCTCTGCCTCTGCCCCCAACACCCACTCCGCCCCTCAGAGAAGCTGTGTGCATTGTCCTGGAGAGTTTCGTCAGCAATTCAGGGAATTGTATGAGGGGAATTTTATTGCTCCATCACACAGTGGAGGGATTAAAATGAAATATTTCCCACTCTCGGCGTTCCCCATTTCTGTAGTTCCGGGCACCCATGGTGTTGCTCAGGCCCTGGTTCGGTGCTGGCCCTCTCTTTCTGTCTTGTCTTCTACCCAGAACCTCACCCTCTGCCCTCTATATCTTGCAGGATTCATACAGCCCTGGGCACAGCCTTGGGCTTCCATCTACATCATGTGTCCGTGAGGGGCCCAGGACAAAGTCGGGGAGATCAGGAGGAAACATATGGGTCTGGCAGGAGCAGCCCACCCTCCACGACTCCCAGGGGTGCTTAACCACAGAGCCACATCCCCAGCTCATATATATATATATATATATATATATATTTAAAAGCCTTCTTTTCCAATGTAGAGACAGGGTTTTGCTGAGTTGCGAAGGGCCTTGCTCAGTTGCTGAGGCTGGCTTTGAACTCATGATCCTCCTGCCTCAGCCTCCTGAGCTGCTGGGATTACAGGTGTGCGACACTGCACCTTGTTTTTAATGTTGCTTAAACAACTGAGTCTTGTCCGGATACTGGCAATCCTTTCTGCTGAGAGAAGATGGGAATCGTAGACTGGACCAGTTCAATATGGAGCCTGAGGGTACACAGAGGGTATGAAGAACGGTGTGTTTTTTGAGTGGGTGGGGGAACCAGCTGGCAGGCAGCCCAGCTCAGCTCATTTTTTGAAAAACTAAAACAAAACACCATCAATGACAACAGCATAACATAATCTTCATGGAGAAAGTGAAGCAAGGAGCTGGGTGGGAGTCAGATGAAGCAATGCAGAAGCTAGGAGGATGCTTGGGAATTTTAGATTGCATCATCTCATTGTCAAAGACTAAATAAATACATTTTATTAATCATGCCCAGGTTTATGCTTCTGTTGGAGGTTAATGACACGTGTAACACAATTGGTATGTGAGGAAGGAGTCCCACTCTCAGAGGCTCCAAGGATGAGGACCTGGCTTCCTGGCTTACTCCAGATGGGAGCTGGTGTGAATGGAGCTGGCAGCAGCGTCCCAGGAAAGAGACGAAGCTCTGGGACACATGCCATGCCAAGGCTGCTGTGCTGGCTCTGGACACTTGACCTGCCCAGTGACCTCACTCTTCCTTTCTTTCTTTGCAAAGTTCCCTGTTAGCTTCAAAGGGTGGTTTTTAAAATGAGATAAAATAGCAGGTGATAATATGTTCTGGAAATCGTAACTAACTATAAAAATGTAAGGTCCAGTAAGAAATGGAGAAATCAATCCCTAGGAGAAAAACAAAAACTATCTAGCTCAAATAATAAGAAACTAAAGCTGGAATGTGGATGAGAAAGAAAAAAAAAAGGACTTCAGAGGGCCAATATCGCAAATCCTGTATCCTCGCTGCTTCTTGCTGAGTCCTTGGTCAGAGGGACTGGTACAGGATTCTAGCCCTACCCTGCAATGACTGGTGGCCTAGACACACCCTGGATAGAGCCAGACTGCCTGCCATTGTCCTCCAGCCTCACCACTGATGAGCCAGGTGACCTCAGGTGGGAGATTCAGCCATTCTTTGCCTCAATTCCCTTATCTGTGAAATGCATGAAACCCATCTCAGGGGAGAGTTGTGAGAATTAAATGCATCTACTATGCAAAGGACTTGGAATAGTGTGTGGTACACAGCAGGTGCTCAGTAAATACACCACAATGATTTCCTATCCCGAGCAGTAGGCCTGGTCCTGAGGAGAGTGTTCACAAGCAGAATGCTTAGCTTTTCTATGATAAGATGACGAGTTGGGCTGCACGTGGGGGTTCTCAGCATCAGCACTACTGAGTTTGGGACTAATAATGCTTTGCTGTTAAGTCTGTCCTGGGTATTATGGGATGTCTAGAGGCACCCTGGCTTCTACCTACGGATGTTTGTAGCCCTCCTTTCTTCCTGTGGAGACAACCAAAAGTGTCTCCAGACACTGCCAAATGTCCCCTTCGGTGGGGGTGGTGCAAAATTGCCTTCCGCTGACAAGTGCAGCCTAGAAGCAGGGCTCCCTGGCTAGGGCGCTGGAGAACATGGGGTGCTGAGGATGAGCATGGAAGTCTGTGGACCCTGGGATTGCTGTGAACGTGGGCCATGTTCCCCAGTCAGCTGTTCTACCCAGCTCTGTCCTCCACGCTGGGTGACATGGTAGTGGGTGGAGGAGGGAGAGGAAAGTTGTTGGTCAGACAAGGGCTTTGGGCGGGTGGCAGGACCCCTCTCTCTGGGCAGCTTCTGTCCTGGGCAGGTTGTTTCAGAACCTCCCCTTGCTGCTGTTTTCCCTGAGTCATCCTGCGCAGAGCCAGGGAAGCAGCAGCCTCTTGCCCAAGGCCACTCCGCTGGATGGCTCATACCACTGCTGGGGTGTGGGATGAGCCCGTTGTGGTCGCAGCCAAAGCCGTGCTCATGAAATGAGAAATGCAAACGCAGTGAATACTTAAGTGCTTGGCTAAAGCTGGGCGCGGTGGCGCACACCTTAATCCCAGATGGTCCGGAGGCTGAGGCAAGAGGGTCGCATGTTCAAAGCCAGCCTTAGAAACTTAGTGAGGCCCTAAGCAACTCAGTGAGATCCTGTCTCAAAACAGTATATAAAAAGGGCTGGGGATGAGGCTCAGTAAGCACCCCTGGGTTGGCTGGTAACCAAGGAGATCCTTCCTTTTCCAAAGAGAAGCAGAATCTTCATTTAGATTGAATTGGGGTAGGGAGAAGGGAGGAGAGGCGGAGGCACTCTGGCACTTTCTGACCGTGTCAGAGTTTATATAGAAGAATAGGAGGGGATGAGAAGAGTCCGCTATTGAAGCCAACAGCTGGGGCACCGCCCTGCAGGGAGCTGGAGATCCAAAGGCAGGCTGTGGATGTCTCAGCTTCTGAATCGAGAAGTGAGATCACAAGGGAAAGCACCTACCATCTCAGATCCCTAGTCCTGCTCTCTTTCCTCCCACATGGGTTTCAGGGACTGGGATGGAATGACTGGTCCCTCTTCAGTGAGTCTAAATCTGAAGCATTTGTTAGATGTAAAGGCAGAGTCAAGACAGGTGTGGACTAGAAAACTAGTTTGAGTATTTTCCAGGTCACCTGGTGGGATTCACTGGGCCACTTTTGCATCAGCAGTTGGGTTTTCTTTCCAGGAGACTAATGGGCAGTGCTTTTGGGTCACGTGGTCACGGGATGATCTGGGTTTGTTAAACACAAGAATAAAGAGATAATTACGCTCCTCCTCACAATTCCCATTTTTTTTTTTCTGTTATGTGTTACTGGGGATTGAACCCACTGACACTTTATCACTGAGCTTTATCCCCAGTCCTTAGTTTTTATTTTGAGACAGGGTCTTGCTAAGTTGCTGAGGCTGACCTTGAATTTAACAATCCTGCCTCAGCCTCCTCAGTTGCTGGGATCACAGGTGTGTGCCACCATGCCCAGCTTCACAATTCAATTTTTGCTAATTACGAATAAATTACTGAAAGTTTCTCAAGGCAAATTCCCAAAGTGAATGTTTAAAAAGATTTTGTTTTCACCTTTTTTTTTTTTTTGGTGCTGGGTTGAACCCAGGGCTTTATGCATGTGAGGCAAGCACTCTACCAACTGAGCTATATCCCCAGCCCCTGTGTTTTCATCTAACTTTTCCAACTCACAATATCATCAGCAACATCATCATTATTTGAAGTCAGACAGGCCACCTTATGGTCTTAACAGTGTCACTGTTAGCAATAAGTATTTATTGAAGTTCCAAGGAACTTGTAATCTGGATTTTCTTCCAGCATTCTGGAAAATACATCAATCTTCTTAAACAATCTTGAGATGTCAAACTTCATGAGCCTCAGTTTCCTTACCTGCAAATCGGAGTCAAAAAGACCTCCTTTCCGGATCCAGGGGCCTAAACATGGACGTGTCCCTGGAACTTCTGGGTCCTTGTGCCTATAAAGGGCAGGGCGTGACTCTCAGAAGGGATATGGCCCATGAAGGGGAGTATGGGGCCTGTTGGGAGGCAGACTGAGCTGTCGCACCCTGAGCTTGAATGTGACAGTGGCCTCACTTCCCGGCCTTCCCCTGGGTGTCACTTCTTCCCCTTCCAGGAGGTGCAGGGGAGGAAGTGAGACCAGGAGCAGAGGCCAGGCCCTGAGGAGGGATATCGTCTTTCTCCTCGCTTAGCCAGGCACCGGCCTGGCTGGGGACAGGGACATCTTGTGACACTGGCTGCCTCCTGCATCCCTGCCCCAGGACCTCAGGGACCACAGGCGGGGACAGTCGTTGATTCTCCCCTGGCTGCTGACCCTCAGCCCCGGGGTCTGCCCAGGGAGAGCTCTGTCTCCCAGAGGGTCAGGGGGCCCCTGTGACCTGCTGCTCCTTACCCACCGTCATCCTGGGCGAGCACAGGTCAGGACACCAGATGCTACTGAGAGTGACATTTCCTAGATGGGTGGCTGGAGACTTTGCCTCTGTCCCCAGGCCTCGGACACCAGATGATCCCCCCCAGAGACAGAAAATAACTCCACACTGCCCAAGACTTATTTTTAAGCTTTGGATTCTGAAATTTTCCTGCTGCCACCTTCTTTGTGAAGCCAGTTTTTTAACAGAGACAATATTCCACGGGGGGCGGGGGGGGGGGGGGCAACATGGAGTTAATCAAACCAAGCTGACACATCTGGTCCTCCAAGAGAAATCTGGATTGGAAGGAGAACAGCCATTCTCAACTGGCGAAATAATGAAGTTCCCTTGTCCTTATTTTGTGTAAGCAAAATAAATAATCTGATGTTTATCATCAAATTACTTTGATGAGTGCTTGGCTCATAGGAAAACTGATTCTGTTTTATGGAATGAAATGTTTCCTGATTTTAAAATTTAAAATGAAATAACAATTAGGATTGTTAAATTACACTGTCATAATTCTGTTCTTTGTTAGCAGAAATAAATAAACCTTTTTTTTTTTTTTTTTTTTTAAAAAAAAAGACTTCCTTTACAGTATTGTTTTGATGATTAAATGACATAGGTAAGGAGTAGTGCTTTGTATTTAATGAAACATCTTCTTATATTGTCATTAATAAGAATAGGTGTGATTGATGTCCTTTGTTCTATGATGAACCATCTCTCTCTAAAAGAGACTACCCAATCAGTGGCTTGAGCATTATTCTATTTCTGCGATTTCAAAAATTCATATACTTCTAGGCTAATATTTAACAAATGCATTCTTAAAAGTAGAGAGTTCCAAATCTAAACATAATGTTAAGACTGCATTCCAGAGAATACTGCAGCAAAGGAAAGTGAAGAACTCTTAAAAAAAAAAAAGGTTAACATTTTTGTTTTATTAAACTATGTCTGTGAATTTCATTTGGCAAAGTTAG